ATCGAAACACGTCCAAGAAAAAGGGTTGTGCCATCTTTGAATTTCAATAATGTTTATGAATATAATCACATCTACTCATGATCACAATAGCAACTCAAGGTGGCTTCTTGGTATTTTCCAAGAAACAAGGTAATCATAATCCATGTTGATTACTTTTATTGAAATTTTATTAAGCAAAAGAAAATTACAGGGACGCATATCTTGTTAATTATGCAATACTTTCAATATAACGAACTTATTTTATAGAATGGAATGTGGCTTGGACAACAACCTCATTTTTTCAAACCATTGACCTCCTCCGTAGCTGCACAAACACAGAAGAAGGAAAAAACTGTAAGTGCACCAAGTATAGCCTTCTGCTCATGCGGATCACACCACAGATGTCCTCACAACCTATAATATTTGACTACTCAGGAGAGGGACAAACTACTTGATCATTTGTTTGTCAAAACTTTGTTCAAATATCAGACTATCTTCACCCATGATTTTTTCAAAGGTATTGAATCCTAAATTGATCACATGATTTATTCAAAGGTATTGAATCCTAAATTGATCACCGTCCATGAAAAAATGTTACCTTTGTCCATTGTCGAAGAAATGAACTTAATGTGCATAAGTATAATGTGAACCATGTCATACTGAACCACAAAAAAACAAAGAGATAAGAGGAACAAAATGACTTACCCAATAACCCAGAAACTATATCCATCAAGATGCCAAGATTGCATTGTGTTTTCAGTGTTCTGAAACACAATCTCGATGAAATCATGCAAACCTAGTCGAACGACAGGCGTCCCAGTAACATTAGAGTCTAATTTATACTATAGAAATATGTCCAAGAAAAAGGGTTGGCGAATGGATTTTCATGTACATGAATAGTTTCGACAAAAATTTCGTGATTAAGATATATTTCTTCAAGCATGAATAGTTTGTAGTAAAAAGGAAAAAAAATGTGATGTAATGGTTTTCTAACGCTATACAGGTTATCCATCATTTTGTGAAACAGAACAAACTTACCTCACTTCTAGCAGAGCTATCCATCATAACAGATGGTCTTACAGTAGGTGGTTGAATAGGAATAAGTCGTAATATCATCCAATCCGGACGATCATCTTTCGGTATGAAACCTAGTAGTAGGCAATCTTCATTGATTATTCTTTTAAGAACACTGAGAACCTGGCCATGTTATAAAACAGATACAAATAAATTTGGGCTACTAAAAGAAACAAATTAGAATAACAATTTTGTAAAATTAGCTACCTTCTCTATAGAAAGCTATTGTTTCCTCTCAACAGGTTTAGGAAGCTGTGCTTGGTCATCATATTTCTTGCAAAGGACTCATCAACAATAGTTTGTGTGCAATATAGATAAGTAAAAAATAGTTGACATGCAAATTTAAAGTAATAAAGTGAACTATTCTCTGAATATGTATTTAAATTCACATAATTGAATGTTAAATTTAAGTTAATAACTGTAATAACAATCAAAGCATGCAATAGTTATCAAACAACTATATGAGCATATGCGTATAAATCATAAATTGTCCTAACAAATTAAATTCATTATTTCATAATCTTAAAAGCATATGAAAAGCTCATTTGAAATCCTTCAACCAACTTGTAAATGTAATTAAAATTAAAAAACATTCATGTTTAATTTTTGTGGGCCCTTGATCAATCCTTCTCCACCTTTATCTTCTTTTTTGGTAAATCGAGAACTGAATCATCATCATCAATGTTGATTGTGATGTCTTCTTAGATTTGGATTTCTTATGCTATTATCTTTCCTTGTGCACGTTCATCCTTTGAGTTCTCATCCAACTTTACAAGGAACATGTATATCTTTCCGATGTTGAGAACAAACTTTTGAAAGAATGAACTCTGATTTTTTTTCTGTTTTAATGAGGAAAAAATTAAGATCTTACACATGAAACATATTGTTTTATATGTATAAAATATAATAAAGTAAGAAGTTACCTCTTTTATATCATCCATGGATTTTTGAGCATTGCATCCTATCAAAGTTTCTGCTGTGTCAAAAGGTGTGACTCTTGCATTATCTGTTTCATCTTCCACTATGATTTTAACAACATACCTACATTTTGTATTATCATTGTGCATCAGATGATATTTTTATATTTAATCTTTATATTTTTCTTTCATGAGTAATTGATAGTACTTTACCTCGGTATACCGTCTTTATTGTTTTTTTGACAATTTTGACATTTGTCATAAATAGTTTTGTCTACTTTTTTATTACAGTCTTTGCATGAGTAGTACCAAGCCTCATGTCTATTTAAGATATTACTTATTTTTCTAGTAAAGCTGCTATATTGTGCCTGTAGATTTGTAAAAATTTAGTTAGTTATAATCGTAGTTTACATATATTTAGTAAATAAAATAAGAAATTATAAAATAATTGAAAAAAATATATTAAAAAATGAATTTTTTAAAAAATAATGTAAAAGTAATAATTGTAAATGTATTTTAAACATCAATGAAACAAGATCTATTTATATCAGCTTGTTTTGAAACTGAAGCTCTTGATTCATTAATATTTTATAGTAGGATTTTTAATATCATACCTTTGATGACTTTTGTGAAGCTTGCATAATGTCAATAATATTCATTTTTGCTGCATTTTTAAATAGCCTTGACGGAGCACCATTAGTCTTGATCTTGTCTTTTGAAAGAGCCCTGCATATAATTTTAAAAATATTTAAATTTTAATTTATTAAGTTACCTTTTTTATTTGAATTACCATTCTCGCATGTCCTTAGCAAGTTGTATTTCAGGGTTAATACATATTGTTGATGCAATTTGCGAAGTCATGCACATCTCCCCTACATATATAATAATTATAATTAGAATTTGATATTTATTGATAAATAATTTATAATTCAATAATAAAAAATGTTACCTTTGTACAATGATATTTTAAAATCTGATAGCGCTATTATAGTTATCTCATGCATATTTCCTTCAATAATTGAACCTTCATTGCCAGCTAAATCTCCGAATAAAGTTACAGATAATGTTATCTCACTGTGTAAGAAAAGTTAGACAATTTTAGGTTAATATATTATATTTTAAATAATTAATTTATTGTGAAATAAAATCATGCGTGTATACTCTTTGTCTACTATAATGATGTCCCGCCTTGTGTCCGCCTTATTATATCTTGTAACGTACTTGATCATAGGCTTGACATTTGCTATCATTGGAAGAACATCTGCACATAAATTTATAATAAGTTTAAAATTCATGTATAAATTTTTAAATTAAAAATAAAAGGTGTTTACAAATACTTACTTATATTCCTTGTATCATCGTTGGAAATTACGTCTTTGATTGAGATAAAATTATTCAATATCTTATCAAATTGAAACTCTGATTTTGATTCTTTGATAGAAATGTTCTTAGTCAATGTCAACTCAATTGACTCATGTACATTTCCATAAAGCGGGTTTATTGGTTTGACTTCTCCATTTGAGATGTAAACAACATGATTCTTCTGAAGCATGTGCTTATACATTTTAATAGTTTCTCCAAACATAATACCTTGTATTTTTTTCCCCTGCAAATATTACTAATATTATCTCACAAATAACTAATACATTAACATTCATTTAAGCCTAAGATAAATAAGATAAGTAATTTGTATAAACATAGTTTTATTTGGGAAACTTTTAACTAACCATTCTCTAGATTTTACTGAAAGGTATCCATAATCTTCGGGTCCAAAAAAAATTACCTTTTAACCCATCAACAAAACTAACCTTATTTATATAAAGTTACCTGTTATTGAATTAGAATTTCTACTACTTACTAATAAGTCATTTGATCTCAATTAACAAATTTAATCGTTTATACGGATTAGCTCTTTGTAAAAAATTTCAATAGGCGCTACTTGTATAAACAATTCCACCAAAGTTTTGCAACACCAACTAAGTTGAGGGGCTAACATGATAAATTAATATGCTCAAAATTTAGCTTGATCATGCAACTAAATAATAAATTTATGGTAAATATGCTTATTAAAAATTTAGTCTAAATAATAACTATTTTGTTGCAGTGTGTATACAATGTTGTGTTGATGTCATATTCCAATTATTTGCTTGCTTATATTGTTAGACATATGTAGATGATTAATTTACGTAGAATTAAGAAGAAAGCATGATATTTGTTGTATAAAATTTGCGAAAATGAATTAATATTGCTTACCTCTTTAATAAATGCAGGAATTTTTTTATATGATCTTATACACAATAAGGTGATAATAATTAATATAAGAATAAGCATCAACAATTATAATTTAATTTATATTTATAATTAATAAATTTTTAAAAAAATTGAGAAGGCTCTGCATATATTTAAAATAACGATTGCTATGGCATGATAAATAGTGATGCATATTGTACTTAAACATTGTATGTATTACTTTATTTAAGAATAAGTATCAACAATTATCAATAGAATTATAGCATGTAGAATATCGCTACATTACCTCCGAGTCGGCAAAAATTATTTTTAGTAGTTTTCCTGATCCTTTGTTATTCTCATAAGATGACTCAATAGTTCTTAGGATAACAACATGAATGGTCCACTCTCTTTGAAACTTTTTTAGTTGGCGTATTTGGATGTGTGGAATTGGTGCTTCGTTGGTGGATGACATTGTTTCTGCAAGATTTTGAATAGTTTGTTATATATAAATAACAACGCATCTAAAGTACTAAATAAACTCAAAAGAAAATAAAATAAGACTATTTCTATATCAAAGGTGTGACACTAATTATAGTAATTTGAATTTATTAATTAATATTATTTACAATGTTTAAAGTTATTTTAATTTTGATTAGTACATGATTTTGAACGAACAGAGTGAATGATGTAATAATGAATTGTAATTTTTTTAATTATTTTTAAGAAAAAACTTTAATAAAATTGCAGCTACTTATTATATAAATTCCTAACATTCAAAAATGTTATTGGTGATTTGAATTATTCCTCGTGGTTCTTTGGATGGAGAACTTCCTTGTATACAACATTCTTTGTGTATTGTTCCTCTTCTGCAAATTTTCCATCTGATGTTATTAAGACCTTGGTTGTCATCATAGAAGTACCCTGCGATAAAGCAACATATAATTGCCAATGAGAGAACACTGGTTCAGGTAAATAAATACCTACGTTAGGTATTGTTTGCCCTTGGGATTTATTAATTGTCATTGCAAAACATAATCTTATGGGAAATTGTTTGCGTTTGAACTTGAATGGTAATCCTTCATCTTCTGCTGGTGACAATGGTATTCTTGGCAAGAAAACTTCTTTCGTAGCATGTTGGCCTATTGTGATTTTAGCTTGAATTACATTGTAGTTAAAATCTTGACATACCATTCTTGTACCGTTGCACAGTCCATTAGTTGGATCCAAGTTCCTTAGTAAAATAATTGGACAATATTTTTTCAACATGAGCTTGTGTGGCGGTAGTCCATTAGGGAGCAGACTTAGTAAAATAATTGGACAATATTTTTTCAACATGAGCTTGTGTGGCGGTAGTCCATTAGGGAGCAGATTGTTCAAAAATTCTTCTTGGTAATGATGATTAGTGTCATCAACTGCTTCATCAAAGCTATAGAATTCTTTTCCTTCTCCTGGAAACCTTTTTATTAGTCTATCATTTAACATGTCAACATATTCATTTTTTGTTGCAAGGATAGCTCTATCTTTCATATAGTCAATAGACTTAAAATTCTCATCTAAAGATGGAAAAATTGAATTTATGAGAGAATCTTCCGGTAGGCCATCACCTTGATTCTGATCAATATTGCATTAGGTAGTTTTATGAGATCTTGGGTCACTGTTGGTTCATCTCCATTCCCAATCCTAAGAAGAAATTCACTGAATGCGGTGTCTGATTTTGCTCTCATATTTTTTGAAAGTTGTAGTTTGATCATTTTGCTCCACAAATATGAGCTTACTAAACTTTCTTTGATAGTTTGTGATCTTGTTGAGCGAGGCACCACTGGTAAAACTTGTCTGAAATCACCACCAAATACAATTACTTTTCCGCCGAATGGTTCATCTTGATCCATTAAATCTCTTAGTGTTCTATCCAACGTTTCAATTGCAACGCGTTTAGCCATAAGAGCCTCGTCCCAAATTATTAGACGAGCTATTCTAATGAGTTTTGATATCCCATCTCGCTTTGATATACCACACATAGATGAATCTATTGTTGGGTTTTTGATTTTAAATCTGGAGTGTGCTGTTCTTCCACCAGGCATTATTACAGCTATGACACCTGATGTCGCTGTAGCAAGAGCTATCATACCTTGCGATCTTACTGTGGCAAGTAGAGCACGATATACCTTGCGATCTTACTGTGGCAAGTAGAGCACGATATAAATAAGTCTTCCCAGTTCCTCCAGGACCGTCAATAAAGAAAACTCCACTTTTATTTGCTTCTTCCCAGTTCCTCCAGGACCGTCAATAAAGAAAACTCCACTTTTATTTGCTTCAACTCGTGTTAATATTATAGTGTATGCAGTATGTTGTTCATAGTTGAGTTTTATTACAGCATTTAGATCATCAGTTGGGATTTGTACATCTAGCTCTTCTTTTATTTCTCTTGGGTATGAACCTTCCTCTGAAATGGTTTTTGTTTGTAAAGGTGGCAAATCAAATTTTTTAATATCCTTTCCCATACTCTCTAAGTAGAAATTAATATTGAGAAGAGTATCATTTATTACCGAAGCTCTAGTAGCATTTGGTTTCCTTGAGAAGTCTTCAGATAATGATTCAAGATATTGATCCCACAAATAACTAACATCTCTTGGCTCACAATGAACCAATATAGTTACAAACAAACGTCGAAGTGTTGTTGGCATTTGGAAGACGATGGCTTCCTCTAAGCACTCTCTTATGCTATCATCAGATTCCAAAAGACCTAATTTCTGGGCTGATTGCTTGAAAGATTTGCAATGAATACCATTTACCATCAGTAGATCCTCAAATGATGTCAGACACCTAATGTGAGTAAGCAATAGTCGCAAGTAATATCTCTCTCCTTCAATTGGATTAGCCCCGTTTATTCGACCTATCACTTGTCTCTGTTTTCTTGGACTCCAAGATTTTGATGTTGAATCCCAAACATAACAATCAGGAAATTCCACATATAATAACTCCTTTTCGTGGTCCTTTTCATGTTTCTTCTTGTTACATTCTTTAATTTTTTACACATAGTAAAAAATTCTGTAAGCATCGTCTTGGAGACATGTTCCAAGTGAATCAATTTCGATAGGGCTTGATATTTCTAATAAGAAACATATTGCTGATTTGGCATGTGAAGTTGTAAGTTAATGACAGCCGGGAATATCTCATTAAGATTGAATTCATATATTCTCCAGAAAGCTTCCTGAGCTGATACCCATCTTGCATCTTGAAAATTTTTGATTTCATTCACAATTTTTTCTCCTTCATTATACTCAATGTTTACTGCCACTCTATCATGGCCTTTATATATGTACTTATAAAGGTATTTCACTGCTTTTATGCCTGAGCATATTTCAACATTGATGTGACAGTTATAACGTGTCAGGAAATATGGATTGTAAGGTACCACCCATTGATTATTAAGAATTTTGTTTCGAACCAACATTGTTCTATTATTTTTGCTCCTTTTATAAATTGGATAAGCATCTTTCGCTTGTACTGATCTTGGAGAAAACTTTCTAGGGTAGTGATAATCATATTTTTATTACAATTTTATATCCTCATTATCTATTTTACATGAATAAATATACCATTAATAATTGTTTTTAGATTAGTTTATACATAAATGAATGGAAATATAAATAAATATTATTAAATGTAAAAACCCCTTAAAAATCTCTCTTCTCTATTTTGTAGTATTTTTTTGAAGCCCAAAGCCTATCAAGAAAATGATTGAAGCCCAAAGAACAAAGCCCATAAAAAAATACACCAAGGAAGCTATGCTTGGACTTGGATGCAAGAGTTGGAATGAAGTGGACTTTTATGCAAAAATCACAAGAATATAACTTTGGCTGCTGCAGATCACAAAGTGGGCCGGCTCTTCTTTGTTTTTATCTTGAAAATCAAATGGAATTCAAAAGTGGGCCGTTAGCTAAAAAGTGAGCTGGACTTCATTTTGAAAATCAAAAGATGCATGAACATGGCCAAACTTGGTGTTTGAATAAAAATGAAAACAAAAGCCCATCAACAAATGCTTCTCATGGGCCGGACTTGTTTGGGCTGGAGACTTGGAAAATCAAACATTGGGCCAAAAATTGATTGTTGCAAAATTGGATTTTGATTTTCTTTTGAAAATCAAATAAATCATATGGGCTAAAGAAGAAACAAAAAGCAAATTCAAAGGTGGAGATTATTGCTTGGGGCTCAAGACAAATCCAATGGCTCATATTCATTGAAGATTACTATAAATAGGGGTAGAGAGTGAGGGGTTAGAGGTGTGAAAATTTTGTAAACTCCTTTTGGAGAGGAGGGCTACTCTTAATTGAGAAGGCCTTCCAAAAATTGTAACTTTAGTTGCAATTAATAAAAATAATTTTTTCCTCTTTAAATTTGTTCTTTCTCCTCTTTGTTGAATGATGAGGATGGAGATGAAGAGCAATTTGAAGGTTTGCATTTCTTTTCTCTTTTATTTCTTTTTAGTAATTTCTTTATTATTGCTTATTAGTTAGATTTAAATTCATGCTTGTAGTATAGATTTACTTTCTTGTCTTTTTTATTTTCTTTTTGCACTTTAATTTGTAGAGTAGATTTATTTTTCTTGCATTTAATTTCTGCAATTTATTTTGTAGTTTAGATTTTTATTTTCTTTGTAATTAGATTTATTTCTTGTTCATAGTTTAGATTTTTCTTTTCTTTTTAATTTTGTAATTAGTCTTCTTTTTCTTGTTTTTATTTCTTAAGATGTGAATTTAATTCTTGTAGGAATCTTAGAATTGTATGAAACTAGTCTAATTTCCTTTATATTGTATGAATTATTCTCTTGCACTTAAAATGTTCATGTTTAGGATAATCAACTAGAGAACTAATCGGTAGAAGAAGAATTTGATAATCTATGCTTATCTTAAATGGTTTGATAGGTTATGCTTATGAATTCTAGGATTATTATCATGTTGTTGTTCTTATCATGAATAGTAATTTTGACTTAGATGATAATTTGATAGGTTACACTTTCCTTAAATGGTTTGATAATCTATGCTTAATAAATCTAAGTTGAAATATGATAAAAAGAGAATAGTTTATATTTTATAATTGAAATTGGTTAGTTGATTATATTCTAGATTTCTTACCTCTTTTGAATCCTTCATCTTAACTTTCTTAAATTCTCTTTTCATTCTTAGTTTTATTTCTTGATTTTATTAATTCATATTTCTTGCCTTGTGATTTCATTTATTCTTTAATTCTTCCTTCTCTTCTCTAAAAATCAATTTATTACCTTTTGCAAATATTCACAACAATCACTCATCACATTCACACTTATTCTTTATTCCTAATTGTCACGCACAAAATATAAGAACCAAGTTTAATAATCTCTTAAAATCACCTTCTTTGTGGGATCGATATCAGTTTAATAATCTCTTAAAATCACCTTCTTTGTGGGATCGATATCTTTTTATACTATAACTTGATAAATTGTGCACTTGCAATTTTGGTACATAATTAATATCTTTTTATACTATAACTTGATAAATTGTGCACTTGCAATTTTGGTACATAATTATGCCGCATCAGGTAGTGATACTTGCTCTCACCATTTTGCATGCAGACATTCTTCATATTTAACTCTCCACAAGGGCCATGCATCATATGTTTTTTTACCAGTTCATATAGAATTGGATTTTCATACTGGTTTGGGATTTCTGCTGATACGTACTTATCATAATGATCTGATGAGGTGATCTTGTGTTTTCCCATTAGAATAATTAACATGTGTGCATGAGGCAACCCTCTTTTTTGAAACTCGATGACATGAACATGGGCAACAACTTTTCCAAAGATTTCCTTTTTAAATAGCTGATCTTTCAGGTCTTGTAATTTTGCTCGAAATATCCTTGAGGTTAGATCTGGTCTATCATTATGTGTCTGTCCTGGATGTAGTTCCTCTGTGATTTCTTCCCATTCAGGATTGCATGTCATTGTGATAAAAATATCTGGTTTTCCAAATTGTTGTACTAATGACATTGCATCAAGATATCTATGACGCATATCTCTAGGACCACCAATAAATGATGATGGTAGAACTATTCTTTTTCCGACTTGACATGCTTTTGCTTTCCCAGCAGCTACACTATCGACTATGCCTTGGAATAACTCTGCTCTGATTTCTGATTGTTTCTTTCTAAAATAATCAAGTCTTGTTGTTTTAAGCTTTATGTACATATCAACAGCGTATTGATGGAACAACCGGCCTGCCGATGTTAATACAGTAGATTATCGAGTGTCTCTTATCTGGAACTTGTAATAATAATATTCTCGACATGAGACGCTTCCCGCCTTTGGTGCTTTAACACATACAAGTTTACAGGTTAAGTTAATTTTTAATGTTTTAATATTATTAAACAATTTTAATTATGATTTACCTTCCCTTTCTCGTTTAAATATGTCTTCTGCAGATGTAAAAGTTTGTTGAGTCACTTGAGATGTTGTATTTAGTTGTTTTGAACGGCGAATATCATTTTTCTCCCTTCTTTTAATATTTTGGTGCCATTCAACATCTCCGCCTGGAAAGAGTAAAGGATACTGTAAAGGATCATAATAACCAAAATAGTGCTTAACTTGATGATTCTTGCCGGAGTGTGAATGGACAACTATTTCTCTCTCATATGGAACATTTTCATTATTTCCCTCTACCCAGACAGCTGCAACCTGATCACTGTTGGCGAGTTGTAAACACGTTGATCTACTGCATCATCTCTATTTATAATGATCTTGAAGTCTTCAAGAGATGGAAAATTATTCAGTTTCTGCAGAAATTTTGCATATGGGTTTCCTTCTAATATATCCATCAATCTTTTAGTTGTAGTCGTACTCATGTTTGCATTATCTAATATTCCCATTCGATTTTGCAACTCATTCTCCGTATCGTAGAAGTAAAGTTGAAAGTAGGAAGGCTTATTTTCTTCTGGAATAAGAGAGGGGAGATTATGATATATTTGTCCTTGTGCTCTAAATGTGAAAATACCCTTTTTGTTTGATGCAAGCTCTCTATCAAACCTTGCCCCAAATGATGTGAATGAGAAAATGCTATTATACTTTCTGGTTTGTCTTCGAAACTCAATTG